CATTTAATTAGAAAATGAAAAATGCTTATAAAAATAATATTTTTGAATGCATTCTATGCTAATAGTTAGGGGGAGTTTATGATCTTTAGTGAAAATTAATAATATGTTCAAATAAAATTTAAGGGTAGATTTGATTGATTGAACATAGTTAATTTTCGATAAATGAGTTGTTAATATCACTAGAGCTGATTAATTTAGCATTCTAAGTGCTTAAAAGCAGATTTTTGACATTTTTGTGCAAAGTGTATAGATACCTAGGTATCGATACCCCCTTGTTATGTATCGATACACCTTGAATGTGTACAGATATATTCCTTGAATGTGCATCGATACCCATCAAGGGTGTACCGATACACTCGTCGGGTTTTGGCTTTAAATCCTTAAATTATAATTTTGCCAAACCCTTCCACACTAAAAAACACTCACTGTTCGTCCCTCTCTCTCACCCAATCTCTATTTTTTCTAAAATCAACGTATTTAAGTCATATTTCACTCGATTTTCAACTCTTAATCCTACTAGCATCATCAAAATCATGCAAACATCACATTCCACTCAAATCCGAATTTTCAAGGTAATTTTTCTAAAACCATTATTTTATTGATTTTTGAACATAAGACTAGTTTTAGTTAGTTATAGTTCGAAATAGATATAAGGCATTTGATAGATTTTGGTTTAGAAAAAGAATCTACAACAAATTTCATAAAAAAACACAAGATTTTCTAAATTTTTTAAAATTTTCGAAATAAAAAAATATGATTTTATTTTAAAAGTGTTGTTTTTGATTTAATTATGTTGTTTTAATGAAAACTATTCATATTATGATTTTTCAAACATCGTTTTCAAATTGAGTTTTGGTATTGATATTGTTGCATACATGTGTTTTCAAATTGCAAGTATCTTTATTCCCATTCCAATTTAAACCATGTCTCATTCTGAAGGACTTAGGATTTCGTCTAGTCGGTCAAACCAACCTTCAAACCGACCTCCCAATCCAAACCCAAATGATCTCGAAATGACTATTCGAAATTCTTGTTTTAATAAACCTGGCTGTCGGGAAAATCTCTACACTAGGTTTGTTGACCTATTTGAGTCGTATAACATTCGGGAAGAACGTATCCCTTCTATTCAAGCTATGATCGTTATGAAATTTAAACATATTTCTACTCTTAAATCTTTGAAATTTGATAAACGTTTTCAGCTTCAACCTGCCGTTTATCACCAACTCGTCCACATTTTCTATTTCAATGCGGTTTGTGTCCAAAACAAGTCTCAAACTACCACTGTAAGTTTTCGGTCTTAACTCTTAGGCCAATACGTTTATATTGACCCCAACACAATCGCTAACACCTTTGGTTTAGATAACGAAAGAGAAATTATGGCTACTCATTATAGAGCCAAGGCTAGTGCGAGTACGCTGTCAGATCACCACGATCGCTTTCTTCACTTGATCATATCTTGGTGGTTTAGACCATCTGGAGGTAGGTACTCCACTCTTAGAGCTTTAGATTTATGGTGCATACGTTATGTCCATCATAATAAGAAAAAAAATTTGCCACAAATTATTTTTGTTGAACTAGTAGAAATCGTAAACAACGTTCCGACTAAACACATAGAAACTTTAGTTTACGATTGTTTTCTTAGCAATTTGTTTATCAAATCCAAGCTTAAGGTCCAACTTGATGTTGCCATCCCTCTTAAAAGCCAAATAAATCTTAAAACCTTGCGTAAATTAGGATGGTCTGGAGATAAAGATCAATGGGTTTGTTTAACCCCGAAAACACCGGGTGCTAGCTCTTCACGAGCTGCTGCAGCACCGGCTACTGATGATCCAGAACTTGAAGAAATCCAACGGGATATCGACGATCCCGTTAACATAGTCGAGGATGAGTCGTTTTAGCAAGATAGTCAAATGCCTCTATATTTTCGATCGTTCATGGAGACATTTGATATGAGGTTTGCATCCATAAAGTCACACTTAATCACTATGAGGGCTCAATAATTGGAGAACCAACGGGAGATGCGAGCTAACCATCAAGCAATGAACGAAAGACTCAATGCTCTTACACTAGAAATGGTTGCTCTACGAGCACATTTTCCTCCTCCCGACCCACCAATGGATGACTAAACCTTACCTTGGTTAGTTTTCATAGGTTGAATTTGAACTTATTGTTAAAACATTTTGAATGTTTTGGATTTGTGTGTTTTGGATATGTTTGTTTGAATGGTTTGAATGTTTAATTTGAACTTCATGTTTATATTGATTTCATTAATTTTTGCATCATTTACATTTTAGACAAATTATGACCAATTACCAATACACATTATTGAATATTGTTTATGGACTAATGGCTAACAATTCTCTTTATTGTGATCTTAGCAGCTTAAGCTATATCTATATAAATCAATTTTTCAAAATTTTATTTCAAAAATGATTTTCAAAAAGAAAATCTTAAAATTACTAAAATGTTTTGTTATATCAAAAAGGGGGAGATTGTTGAATACATTTTGATGTTTCAATATAACAAATAAAGTACTATTGAATTTTAAGATTTTATATTCGATTCAAAATTATATATAAAAAATATTACTCCAAGTTTTCGAATGTCAATTTTAATCCTTATTTAAGTGTAAAATTGTTTTTTTAATCTTAAAATATTTTTGAAATTTTTTTACAAAGCATTTTGAACCTTAATCGAGCCAAAAATGAGTTTTACAATGGAGGTATCGATACACTCCTCGGATGTACCGATACACCCATATTTCGAATGGAATAAAGGAATCGATACATAGTCGATGTACTAATACACTCCAGGCTCTGAGAAACATCGAATGCAATTAGTGTACCGATACCCCTGGGATGTACCAATACACTTGCTCAAATAACAGTCGAAATATTTGAATTTTACACTGAGTGTACCGATACACTTTGAAGATGTATCGATACACCTACGCTCCCAATAGATTTTTTAAATGGTAATCACACCATAACAACTCTATTGACTTCACCAATGATCTCAAACGTTAAGAATTGATTCAAGGTGTATTTAAACAAGTTATGAAGCCATTGATCAACATGAATTAAGAAGAGAAGCTAGAGAATCAAAGAGAAAGCCTTAAACTTATTGTTTGAGCATTTAAAGCCTATTTTCCCGTCAATATTCATTTTACTTTCAAGAACACCATTTGTGCTAAATTGTATTCATTCTTGAGTGTTCTTTCTTTGTTCTTGCCTTGTGATATTTTTCTGTAAGTTTGTGGAATTTGTAATTTTCTCTTTGGGAGAGAGTGTTCTCAAGAATTTGGGGTATAATTCTTGAGGGAGTTGTAAGGTTACTCTTTGTCCTCAAAAGAAAGACAAATTAGTGAATTTGTGGAAAATCCTTAGTGTGGATAGCAAAGGTAGTGGACGTAGACTTTGGTGGAAAAAGTCGAACCACTCTAAATCACTGTGCAAATCTTTTCAATTTTCTGTCAAAGCTTCCACCAAATTTTTAATTGCCAATTTACCCCCTCTTGGTTATTTCGTCGATCGATTAACTCAACAGTTAGGTTATCTTATTTCATACCTAGATTCTCAATTTTGATGGCCATAACATATTTTTACTTTAGGTCTCTGTTTGTTATAGCATTTTACACTCCACACTTGCTATTTTGCCACACCATTCCATCAATTGTTCATACCACTATATATATATATATTAGAATTTATAGTGTTAGTGCATAAACGTAACTTGGAAATATCTCCAATCCTTGTAGAGACAATACTCACTCACTACTATATTACTTGTTTGATTGTGTATACTTGCACAGTTTGCGTGACATATTATAGTACACCCACACACGCAATAGTTAACTTATGGTAACACATCAGTATCATTGTTAAATTTTTAACGATGGTAACCAAAACGAAATCAAAATATAACTTTAAGTATAGTTTTTAAAAAATAATAGGTAGATAATCAAAATGCAATCAAATCGTAATTTTAAATAAAATTTTAAATGATAATAATAATTAAGACCCAAATTATGTATTTAATCACTAGATTAATGATAATAAAAAATATAAAAAATTAAATATATATAGGGTAAAGTACATAGTTGGTCACTTTTTATTTCGATTTTATAAACAGATGATCACTCGATTAAAAATACAAGTTTTGGTCACTTACATTATCGTTTTATTAAGATTTAGCTACCGAGACACTAGTTACTGTGAGTTTGACGACGTGACACGTTAGTAAAAAGATTTAATTTTTATTTTAATCCTTAAATTTTTGATAAATTATTAATCATGCTTATTTTAATCCTTGAATTTTAGATAAAATACTAAGTATATTTTAAAAAAAATCCAAAATAGTTTAGAGACATTTTTAATTTACTGTTTTTTAATATTTCATCTTACACTAACTTTATCCTACTCTAACGCCTACTTCTCCATGCCTCGGCCGCTTGTGGCAGAAAAATCATGTGACATGTAATTGTATATCCACAACCCAATACTTCCCCCATGGTGGGGGATTGAATGCTTAAAACAGGGCAGAAATCTATGTTTATGTTTATGTTTACAACCATTCTAAATCATATGGATCAAACCTAGAACGCCTTTGTTTTGCTTATTCCGTTTACCCGTATATATTATGTAACATTAGTTATAAAATTAAAAAAAAAAAATATTAAATATATTCTTTTTATTGATCTAATATGATTCCAATGTTAATATATGTTAAAAATATTTGTAATCATTTGACAATTAACACTTAAATATTATATTGTAGTTGGTGTTTAAACTTGAAATTGTTTATATTTGAAATAATAACTCACTTTAATTACTTAAAATTGTTTGATTAGTGTAAAATTAAATATAATTTTAAAAGTATTATTGATCAAAAGAAAAACATAATTAGTTTATTCTAAAATTTATTGTGAATGGAACGGGAAGTGCGTAAGTTAGAAATTAGAAAACAAAATATCTACGGAAAAGAGGAGAAATATTAGCCAAAGAAACAGAACAAAGGTAAAGCAGACGATGGGAAGCACAAGCACCAGCGCTGCTCTAATATCCCATTTGCGGCTCAACAGAAGCTTCTTCAAGCTCGTCGAGCCAACCAAGGCTCAGGTCGAGTTTACCTCTCTCAAATTCAGGCATTCAAGGAGAGGGAGGCTGGAATTCGGTTCTTCGCGGAGCACGAAAGGTTTTGGTACAGTCGTTTGTTTCGCTGCCGTTGATGACGATGTCAAAACCAGCAGCGCCTCTGAGTCCGAAGTTAGACCCGGTATCAATCAAATCCAATCTATTTTATTTTTAAAAAAATTCTAATCGGTTGCTCTTTTAAAGCTTAGTTTTACTTGTTTTTTTTAGCTTGATTCCTGTTTAAACAAAATTGAATATTCGAGCTCAAGTTAGATATTTATTTTAAATGATTATCCAGATATATATATATATATATATATATATATATATATATATATATATATATATATATATATATATAGAGGGATAGTGCTTCATGTTATGGAGTTTAAATGTGTGGTTATTAATGAATGGGAGATTTTAATTTGAAATATATGTTGCAGAGAAAGTCGGTGTTAGGGGAAAATATTTCCTTGAAAACTTAGTTTGACCAGAATCACGTTGTTAGATGATTTAATCTATCAAGCATATAATATATATTCTTTTGTTCCTCGAAATATTAGAGGGTCCAGTTTAAACTTTTGGATGAATATTAACTGCTAATGCTCATGGATTAGATCATTTATATTATAACATTCTAGTGACGAGGTCTGTTTCAGCATAGGGGCTATCGATGGGAGAGGAAGAGTTAATTGATGTTATGTGCTTGGACGAGGCTTTGGTCATTAAATTAGGGATTATGACCAACTTAGGTGCAATCATACGAGAATGTTGTGGGAAATGAGTGAAGTTTTTGTAGGTGATGACAGTTCTCTAGTTTTTTTTTCCCCATGAAAAAGGTCTGGATAAAGTCCATCCGCCAAGTGGTAAATATGTAAAACACCACCTCATATTTGATATTTGAAGCATAGAAGGTGACACTAATGGGATGGGAGTGTATTTTGGTGGTTCTTTAGTAATTCCAAATGCAAGAGGGAATAAATCAATGATTATACCTTGGGAATTTATAATACAGTGCTTCATTTGTCCTTAAAAAAATTAGTTAAGGAAACTACTTCTAGCACAAATGTTTCTGAGTATCTTGTAGAAAATGCTTTACTGCCATCACAGTTTTTTGTTAAAGGCATTCAATAAATAGAATTCATGCTTATAGGTAATATCTTGACATCTTTTCTTTGATTCTGGTATAGATGTGGCTGGTATCTCAGCAGAAGAAACAGCACAAAAGTCGGAGCAGAATAATGATGGAAGTGCACTTTATAATTTTCTTTATCCTGATAAAGATCTTCTCCCAGATGATAAAGAAATGAATATATTTGATCATCTTGAAGAGTTAAGGCAGAGGATATTTGTGTCTGTATTGGCTGTTGGTGCTGCTATCCTTGGATGCTTTGCATTTTCAAAAGAACTGATAGTATTTCTTGAAGCTCCTGTTAAAACACAGGGTGTACGATTTCTGCAACTAGCTCCTGGCGAGTTTTTCTTCACAACTTTAAAGGTTAGATTGAATTATTTCTTTTTGCTTTCAGGATATGAATGCAAGTTATTGGTTGCAATGTATATAGTAACGGGCTAAATTATGGATTGGGTTCCCGTTCTAAGTTCTAACTTCCCTCTTTTGCTCTATTTCATATTTATATATTTGTTTTTGGAACCAAGTACTACAGTACCATAGGAGATACCTTTGGAATGATGTGCTATCAGCTATCATATTAAGGAAAGCTTTAGAAGTTTCGGATCAAGTGAAGAGTTAATTTCTGTGCAGTGTTATACCTGGAAGAATGTTGATAACTCTAACCTGCAGCTTGCTCGCAGAATTAACATTTGCAACTTTGATTAGATAACAAACTAATTGATCATTACATTGCAGCAATAAAACTTACAAAAGAGCAAAAATAGTTGTGGGGAAGAGAGAGTGAGAAAGAAGGACGGAGTTCAAAGAAAGAAATGAGAAAAAAAGTCAGACAGCTCATAACAATTAATTTTTTTCATGTTCTGCAGGTTTCAGGATACTGTGGCCTTCTTTTAGGAAGCCCTGTAATTCTGTATGAGATCATAGCCTTTGTTCTTCCAGGTTTGACCCGAGCAGAGAGAAGATTTCTGGGGCCTATTGTGTTGGGCTCTTCGGTTCTTTTCTATGCTGGTCTTGCTTTTTCCTACTTGGTTTTGACTCCAGCAGCCTTAAATTTCTTTGTTACTTATGCCGAAGGGGTTGTAGAGTCTTTGTGGTCCATTGATCAGTATTTTGAGTTTGTACTGGTGCTCATGTTCAGCACAGGCTTGTCTTTCCAGGTATTTCCTACTTTATTGTGGCAACACATGACTAGAAATTAGCCACCATGCATATTTCTATGTTCTGAAGTTCACATCTTTTTCCCCTTTAAGAGATTTCTACCAGGTGATTCACTTGGAAATGCAAGACAAATTTCTTTAAAGTAAAAACATTTAGATTTCTTCAATCAAGTTTTTAGGGGAACCTAAACTGATACCGTCTCATGCTGAGAATGGACGTTTACCTAGAAGCTTAGTTCGCTCCATTTGGTTCATCCTGCAGGTTCCTGTTATACAATTTCTTCTCGGGCAACTTGGTCTTGTGTCGGGGGACCAGATGCTTTCCATTTGGAGATATGTAGTGGTTGGCGCGGTTATTGCTGCAGCTGTATTGACACCATCAACAGACCCTCTTACTCAGATGCTTCTGGCAACGCCACTTTTGGGTCTTTACTTGGGTGGAGCATGGGTTGTTAAGCTCACTGGACGGTGATCACTTTGCGATTCAAAACTTTGGTTGGGATCAGTCCACCGGCCAGTGTATCACAAGCATGTTCGTTTTGTATTTTGTTAAAAAGTAGTCATAAAAGATCAGGCTATAAATTATTTGTACCAATTCTGTATCACTATTGTAGAATTTTCTTCCTTGTATGTCTGAAAAGTCTCCATCACTTGCCCTTGTATATCATTAGTTCTATCTGATATTTTGTCCAAAGGCAGCTAGCGTCAATAGGTTGAGGGACAAGCTCCTAGTTCATTCCGTTGAGCTGCCAGTTGGTTAAGCAGCTTTCATTCCTCAAGTCTCCACGATTTGTTTTTCATAGTGTGAGATGATTATAAGATAGTATCTGTTTAAAATCTTTTTTAATTTATATCTTTATAATTTTGACATGGAAGAAAGCTCACGACTCAATTTATATAACTTATCCATTTTTTTTAAAGTTATATACCTAGCATATTATTTGGTTACCAAGAGTTAATAGTTTCTTAAATTATACTTCAATCCAAATTGCATGTGAAACTATGAATTTGAAAATCATAAATTTAAATACTTAGTGCAACTGCTTTTAATTTAGGAATTTGGTTGGAGATTACGAGTAATTTAGACACTCTATTTTGTAATTTCTTACCACTTTAAAGAAGGAAAAAAACACGTGTTACACCCCTATAATATATTTTTAATGGTTTTAAAACACACACGTTATACCCCAATCTCACAGCATCAGTCCTTCAATCACAACATATAGGACATCCATGAATATTAGAAGCTGATTTCTATACTCCGATAACCAAGTCCCTATGCATGCCGAAGAGCATCCAGAAAAGCAAATCCAATCACCAAGGTCCGTTCTAAACACACTTCCTATTGCGACATGTTCTTCCTCAATATCTATTGCACCATCCGTGTTGGTTTTAATCCAACCATTTTAGCAACAGTAGCTCGTTCCAGTACTGGTGGAGCACACAATCTAAAATTCTACCGTGTTTCATGAATCTGTTAGAAAATGATTGCATACTAATCCAAGAATGATATAGAAAATTTTAATGAATAAATAAATATCATTATAAAAATTAAAGAGAACAAACAAATTTACTGTCTTAAGATTACTGACTGAATTAATAATCTCAGACATAATCAAACCTTTGAAAATCAAACAAAGAAGTTAAACTTCATAAAGTAAATAAAAATTAAATAGAAAGAAAAATACTCTTTTTATTTTGATCAGTTGAGATTGGAATTAATTGATGCTTGTCGCTACACAGTTTACTTGAGACAAATTTTCGGCTACTCCTTGGGTACTCGAGTTCGTTGGTTGTCTCTCACGATATAACAACTTATGAACAGTTTACTTATGATCATTGCCTTCGACTATCCCGGAAAAACTAAGGAGGAAAAGAATATTTTCGAAGGAGAGGAAAAGAATATTTTTTAAGGAGAGAAAATATTTTTCAAGAGAAGAAAAAGCTCTTGAATTATGAGGTGTGAAAAAATTAACAAGTTCACACACTATTTATAGGGAATTTTCAATAGAGATTTAATCAAACCAGATAACTTTTAAGATTCAACTTTAAACATATAATAATATCTTTTAATATGAAATATTCAAAAGATAAAACTCGTTTTACGATTCAAACTTAAATAGATATTATTTTAATTTGAAATATACAAAAATATATAATTATCTTTAATATTCAAAGTTAAAAAGATAACAAGTACCTTTTTAAATTGACATAATAAAAGAATAAATATCCTACTAATATTTAAATTAAATAATATATTTAATTTACAATAATAAAAAAAGAATATAAATTTAATATAAATATTAAATCCATCAATTAAATTTAATCTCTTTCCAACAGAATCTACTCCACAAAGCGCATACTTGAACTGATAGTCTTCTTTCTTAATAAAATCAGGCTCGCTCTAGGGCATTCCCTTAAAACAAGAAGAATATTTTATGAATCACGTTTAGAAATGACACATTGATTATCTAGAGTCATATGACAACCAACTCTTTCAGCATTAATGAGAAGGTTACCTCGCACAACAAGTCACGTAAACACTTGGATGCATTAAGGGACCAAATGATTTTCTAAATGCCATCGTGCGATGTAATACTCAACTTTTGTCCGTGCTCCAAATTTATCTAAATGTAAGAGAGCCCGTTCATATTGACCATGATAGAAAGGAAAGTGTCATCATGATATCGGAAGAATTTTTCCATACTCAACATGATCTCCTATTAATGAAAAAGAATATGCTAATTGATGTGATTAGATAATATTAGGTGTTATTTTCTTATATAAGAAGATCTTGTATTATTTGGACACATCTTAGCCGTTGATGTAAATAATCTAGACCATTGAATGTTTGGAGCCTCAACTATAAATAAAAGTATTTTTCATCTCTTTAAAACACACACAGAAATATTGGGAAAAAAAGAGGAAAAGAAAAAATAAAAAAGAGAGAAAAAACAGAGGAGAGAGTCACACTCAGAACTGTAATTTGAAAGATATAAGCAATAGAAGAAATCTTTTTTTTTCCCCAAAAGGTGATTCTTTTTTCTTTGCTTATTTTTATTTTTACTTTTGTCAGACTTTTTTCCTATCAAATGAGAGAAAACCGATGAAAAAGAAAAATACTATCAAATATGTCTTTTGACATAAGATATTCTTTCAGGTTTCTCGTTGAAAATCGACGATAAATCTTAAAAGAAGAAAGCTTTTAAAAACTTTATTTCAATTTTGATTAAATTTTTCCCTTAATTACGTTTCTTAATTTTTAAATACATTCAATTTAACCTTCTTTTAAAATTTTGCCTCAAACTTACCCTTTTTATTAATTTATTTAATTTTTTTCATTCTAAATTACCACCACATGTTCCTTTTATTTTTCTTCTTTTTTTTAATCTCATTCTCTTTCATTTTTAATCATCTTCCTTAATTTGTGTTGATTTCTTTAATTTTATTCTTCACTTAAATCAAGTTTCTTAATTTTAGTTTTTTTCTAATTTATTTTTGTTGTCATTAATTTATTGGTTGAACACTTTTATTTAAGTTTATTATACCTTCTTTTTTTTAACTTAACATTCCTTTTACTTTAAATTAGTTTCTAAGTCTTTCTAATATATATATATATATGACTATTTTTCATATTTATCTCAAGTGCGTTTTAAATTTTGTATATTTATTCCTTTTATTCCTTATTAAATTTCAATGTTAATTAATCATATATTTTTGTGTATATTTTACATTATCACTTCTATTTTGGTATTGGTGACCTTTTGCCTTTCTTTTACATATTAAACTCAAATTATTTTTTTAAAATCCTAATTTTTTCTTATAATAAAAAACTCAAAGGTAAATAATTCAGATATTTTCTTTAATTTGGTCCTAAACTTTAATTTATCATTGTTTACTTTAAATTATTTATAATTTTATCTTACAATCCTAGCATGTTAATTAAATTGTTTCCTTAAATTGTTTTCTTTAAACTTTGTAACCAATTTTTCTATGAAGCTTATTTATTGATTGCATGCCATATTATTTAATTATTAAGCATGATAGTCCCATTGGCATTACTCAACCTTTTCAATAATGAATTAAAACGAAATGCTTGTTTATTTTAAATTATTGAAGAGAGTTATCCTAATCCACATGACCACATGAGTAGTTTAATTCAGTAATTTAAAATGAACAAGCACCCTCTAGTGGAACCATTTAAAAACAACGACTTCTTAAAATTAACCAAGCGGGTAGGAAGAGAAATATTCTTGTATTTAGATCTAGTGAGGATGAGCCACTCGACCCTATTTAATGGTTTAGACTCGGTATTTATAAATATTTGAGCATTCCATACCTATCTTAAAGGCTTGATATTTTTTAAATAAAATATTTTTTTGTTGCATAACCTTAGGTAGATAAATACAACGTTCAATTATGAAATTTCTTATTTCTTTCCAAAAAAGGGAAAATGCCACTCTACCTTATATTAGGTGGTGTTTCCTTTTGGTATGAAGTGTTGAAGTGTTACCAATTTAACCTAAACTTTTTGAGAAGAAATATTGATAATTCCCTACTTTAGTTGGAAATAAGAGGGATACCACTTTACTTTATTTTAAGTGGTTAACTTTCTCTAGTTAAACGCAACTAATTGTTAACTTTTATCTCTAAAATTTTAAACGGATAAACAACATTGTATTTATTAACTAAAAAGGGATCATTAATTAAATGAATATTTGAATTCATAAATTTCAATTCAATGACAATAATTAATCTACTAGGAATCGATTTTTGGTCATTGTGGGGGTGTTAATCATTTCCCACACGTAATTGACTTCCGAACTCATTTTTTTGGAAAGTAGACCTAAAATTCGTTTTAATATTTTTTAAAATTAATTTTTATTAAAATAACAAATTTTGTTGGGTGATCTAATCACACCCTAAATAAATATTGATAGCGACTCCATGGAACCATATTTTTAATTTTATAAGGAAAACCCAATTTTAGTTATAACGAACCCAAAAATTATTTTTTAATTTTTATAACTTTATGACAGTTTGGCGACTCTGCTGGGGATTTTTAGACAGTCAGGCTGTTATTTGATTATTTATTATCTTTGCAATGAAAATTAAGAATTCAATTTAATTTAATCCATGATCCCTTGAGTGTTTGTGTTTTTTAACTTCATCTCTTGATTGTTTTCATTTTTTACTCTTGTAAATAGTTGTACTGATGTGTGCATTTCATTGGTTTCCAAACTTTTAAGAAATTTTGAGAAACTTTTCAAGAATTAGATTTTATTTGTCAAAGGTTGGTAGGTTTCTCCTCACACACAACATATGCATTGCATAACATAAGCTCTATACTTGAGTTGTCCCTTTTAAGTGAGGGTGAAAGCGAAACCTTTATGGCCTAGTAATCGCTTGTAAATGTATATGCTAAGGCAAGCAAATCTGTGCAAGTATACAGAGTTGAATCAAGTAATAAAGGGTAAGTGAGTTATTGTCTCCTCAGGGATTGGTAGGGATTTTTAGGTTTCACCACAACTAGAACTAGTTCTCACGAGCTAGTTCCCGAATTCTTGTCAAAATAGAAAAACAATTAGCAATGTATTATATGAATGTTAAAGTAATAAAATATTAAAAAGTATGGTTGTAGACAAGTTGGTCGAGGCAAAGTAAATGTGCAGAACTAACGA